TCCAACTCTACAATTCTAGGACTCAACACTGGGCCATGTGCCTGACACAGGCAGTAACATGGGAACTGCTAAGCATATGTACTATTAAAGGGAAGAATGACCAACAGAGGATATAAAATTGCATCCTCAGCTGCAGACAACCCACGAGTTACAGCATAGCCAACATCCTCAGTGAGAAGCAAGAGAATATGAGGCACATGTCTTGGCCTGTGGAGAAAATGGGCTCTTGTCTTGGATCAACCATTCATCTCACCAATGAAAATGACCATCAGCTTGTGATGAATGAACTTTTCTTGGATGCTAAACACTTTGCAAACCTGGCTTTAAAATAAATTAAACCGGCTCTTGCTCACAAATATTCATCTTCTTTTCTCCTCCTTGCAATATCTACATAATTTTATTCAAAATGTTTCCAAGGAGATTGGAATTGTGAGGTGGGGGGACACAGATTACAGGAAGGAGGAATTCTGCTTCCTCCCAGCTCCTTCACTACCTTCAAAAGTTTTATTCATTAGCCTGACCTGTATTGCATTGAGCAGCCTTTTCCTATGAAAATTCTGAACCCATTTTAAAATTCCAATTTATTTAATAATTTGATGCAGCTGCTAAAATGTTCTCCCTCTTTTGATCACTCTTATTAATGACGTGTTGTAACGCATACAACGCTTGCAATCAAAGCTACTATTTCTTACAAAGATCATTATGTACTGCCTTTATCCTCCTCTCCTCTCCTCCCCCTTTCTTCCCCCTGTATTTCTGATGAAGCTCATATGTTGTTGGTTTGGGGGGGGGCTTGCAAAGTTCATCTCAGTGTTCAAATTTAAAAGAAATTAGGAAATGTGTAGGCAGCTCCTCTGGGGTAATTACAATCTTGATGTCTAACCCTTCGTCTCATCTTCCTCCCCTCCCCCATTGCTTCTCTTGTTGCCTAATTTTAGGAATCAGGATAGTCTCTCTTACTTTACTCTGCACAATACTATTCAAAGAAAAAATGCTCCAGAGGAATGGGGAAAAAAATTCTCACCCACTCAGCAAAGGATTCAGGGCACTGTGTAGATATTAAACCTAGTGTTAAATATTCAATGCTTCCCTCTTAATGAAGCCATATACAAGGTTTCTTTTGACTGGTGTTTTCAAAATGCTGGTCTTTCATTTTAATCCAAAATCAGGTAGTGGCAGAGATAGGAAGACTATTTGAGGATAAATGTTGATGGTCCTTTGTGTATTTACATAGTTGCAATACCAAGGAAAACCTATGAATACAGCAACAGGAATCATACAGGGTGGTGAAATGGTTATTTATGTTATGTATAAATCCTGAGCTTCCTTTAAAAAGCTTGTGGTGACATACAGGAGATTGTCCTATTTTTGCTTTGCCCCATACCAATGGGATAGATTAGATAAAGGCATACTTAGACTAACATCTTTTACACTATAGAACAAGGAAGGTATAGTGGTTTGAATATTGGACAAGGACTTCAAGAGACAAAAGTATGAATTCCATTTTAGGCCTTCTCTGCACTGGCCAGTAAGTCTTGGTCCAATCTGGAGCTTTATGCTCTGGAAACAGCCCTGAATTAGCCACAATGGTGGCTGCACACACTGAGCCAAACCTGGTGCAATGTTGTCTGTATGGTCGACCGCTACATCAGCACAGCTGGCCCAAACCATGACCATTATGTCTCTTACCTGCAGGAGCTCCAATGACAGGCTTGCTAGTGTACTGTTCTTTCTCTGGAGGGGGGACATGCCCGTGTGACCAATGACAGGAGAGGGTAAGGGATCAACTCCTGATCAAGTGGTGAGAGACTTCAGCTATCTCCACCATCTGATTTGGGTGTGCCTCTATCCTATCTCCCCATTGGTTACATGGGCAAGCCCACCCTCAGGAGGAATGGTCTGCTGGGTGGCCATAGAACTGGCAGTGATGTTTCTGGGGAAATGCCATCACCTCTCTCCATGCTGCTGAGCATGGGTAATGAGGATGGCATGGTGCCTGGTATGTTTGTATGACATAAAATTCTGTGCTAACCCCAAAATTTTGGGGAAATACCAGTGCTTCTCATGACTTTGCTAATTCTGGGGCAAAGTGAGGTTACCAGGGAAACCTATGGTATTTCACTGAAAATTGCTGTGCATCAAGGAAACAGACTGCACTGATGCCAGAGTTTTTTGGCCATGCAGACAAGGAAATCCCTGGGTGAGCTTGGGCATGTGACACTCTCCCAGCCTAATCCTAAGGCTGTCTCACTTTTTCAGATGCCTTTAAAATGTCTCATTTTCTCTCTGTTCCTCTCGTCCTCCATTTATATCAATTGTTGCAAACTGAATTTGAAGTGCAAAAGTAGTCTGCACTAAATTAACTTTGCAAGGGGGAGAGAACAGGGGTGGCATCTTGTCTTTCTCACTGAGAACAAGAAAAAGCAAATTGCTACAACTACAACTGGGGAAAAGATGGGATATAAATAAAGATTAATAACAAGTACAACAATAACAATAACAAGCCCTGGTGGTGCAGTGGTTAAATACTAGTACTGCAGCCACAAGGCTGTGAGTTCAATCCCAGAGGGCTCCAAGGTTGACTCAGCCTTCCATCCTTTCATAGGTCAGCAAAATGAGTACCCAGCTTGTTGGGGGCAATTGGCTTACAGAATGTAAACTGCTTAAAGTGCTGAGTTCACTGGTAAGTGTTACAGAATTGTACATGCTATTGCTATGCTATAACAACAACAACCCTTTTCTGCTTTACAATGTGCCTGATTTAAGGAATCACTTCCAGAGCTGCTATTATCATGGCAAAGGAAAACATACAAGCAGCTATACATTGGAAGGGGAATTTAGATTATGAAACTGGCATGAAAGGAACCTGTTTGTTTTTTTAAAAAAACTTCCTACAACATCATCTGTTTGATCTGTAGTGCAATCATGTGAGAACTAGCTTTTTCTAAACCCAAGCTCAGTTTTTTAAATGTATATGCTATTTTATTGCCTATAGTTATATTTTAACATAACTTGTTCCCATTGCTTATTGACAATTGTTTTTAGCTGATTTTCTATTTTTAAAAAATCACTTAGAAATACAATGATGTCCCCAAATCTACCAAAATAACCCCTTCAAAGCAACATTTTAAGAATTAAAAGAAACAAGTAAAGACTATTTATTACAGTAGCATATTTTAATGAGATTACTAGTGGTTGTTTTGTTAAATAGCATCTTTTAAATGAAAAATTGTAAGATCTCAAATTGCATGATGTTTTTTTTATTTTTAAAATAGTGAAATATAAACAAAAATTACCAAAAAAGAAGAAAAAGAAGTGTAATACTTAACACATATAGATTAAAGAAACTTGAAAGGAAAAGTAATATAAATAAAGAAATACAAACAATTCAGTGATCTGTATTCCACCACCCAAGTGAATCTTAAGACTTTGACTACATTTGCACTGCAGAAATAATCCACGTTGACACCATTTTAATGTTGCCTGTTTTAGAAGACACATCGGACTGTTTTTGCCCTTGAGCCTGATTCAGAAGAACTTTGCTGTCATCTGACATCAAGGGCCATGAAGAGCAAAAAAGCTCAAGGGTCATCAAATCTAATTCCCTGCCATGAGGGGTGTTTTAACTGTGAGTCCCTGCATGACAGAATGACTGGAAAAAATGGTGGACTTTGCTAAACTAGCAAAATTGACTAATTTTGTTAAAGGCAATGGCATAAATGATTTTAAAAAGAATTTGAAAACCCTTTAAGGAGTATGTTAAAGGTTTAAGAGGTGACATCATGATATTAGGATTCAATTTGTGAGTACTACTTGAAAGTTTATTTTTAGAAGAAAGTAAGAGAAATAGAATAGATAATTTATAAGGAGCTCTGGTGGCATAGTGGTTGAATGCTGGTATAGCAGCCACAAAGTTGTGAGCTTGATCCCTGGACTCCAAGGTTGAATCAGCCTTCATCCTTTCATAGGTCTGTAAAATGAGTACCCAGCTTGTTGGGGGCAATTGGCTTCCACATTTTAAACCACATAGGGAGTGCTGAGTTCACTGATAAGTGGTATAGAAATGTAAATTCTATTGCTATTTTCCAGTTCTATGATTGTGTCTCTCATTCCACAGTCATCTATTCTAGATGGCAGATTCTTTTGCTTTGACCTTTTATTCCTTACCACTTTCTCTCTGTGTACATTTCTTTTTTAAATAGACATCTCATCCTCCAAGTATATTCCAGTCGGATCTCTGTATCCATGGATTCTGCATCCACAGATTCAACCTTCCATGGCTTGAAAATGTTTTAATATTTTCCAAAAAAACAAACTTTTATTTCGCTATTTTATATGAAGGATATCATTTTACTAGACCATTGTATATAATGAGATTTGAGCATCCATACATTTTGGGATCCATGTAGGTACCTGAATCAAACCCCAGCAAATATGAAGGGCCCACTGCATCATCATCACCATCACCATCACCACCATCTTTTCTACTCATTGTGATACTCAAATTAATGCCCAACAAATTATGTACAAAATTTCCTTTAAATATATTTAAACACATTTTAAAAGCCAATTGAGAAAAACAGATTTAAAAAATAAAGGCCAGATGTAATAACATAATTTTAATCAGTGGACAGAAACTTTACCACAATGTCATCCTGATTTCCCTTGGGAAAGAGTTCTTTAATCAAGGTGCTGTTATAGAGAAAAGTGTCTTGTGTGCTCACCAACCTAGCCAATAAAAGCCAGGATCTTGGGAAAGATCTCTAATTCTTAGCAGGGTCACACAGAAAGAGGTGATCTTTCTGATATCTCATTTGCAAGTCTAAAACTAGCTAATGGTGAGACATGTAACAGGATCTCCCATTTCCAATAAGCTTGTATGGAGGAAAGTTAGTTATGAAATATTCTAGACCCAAGCCATTTAAGACTTTATGAGTTTGAAAGCAAATTGAAAATTAGCACATTTAATCCAGAACAGATTGTAATCTGAGTCAGTGACAGCCAGCATGGCATGGTGGTTTGAACGTTGAACTATGACTTTGGAGACCAGGGTTCGATTCCCTGCTCAGACATGAAACCTTCTTGATGACAAGTCACACCCTCTAAGCCTCAGGGAAAGGCAATGGCAAAACCTTGTTTGAACAAATCTTGCCAAGAAAACCCCATGATAGGTTTGCCTAGGGTCGCCATATATTGGAAACAACTTGAAAGTGCATAACAACAGTAAAATCTGAATCAGAGAAAAAATGTGATTGCAATAGCTTTGCACACCCAGGGGAGAAATTCTCCTGGCTGAACAAATCTGTTATGAATTCCTAGTTGAACAAAGCCTAGATGGTCTCTAGAGTACACACGAGACTGCTGTCTGGTTGCTGTATTTTGCATAAATTGTACCTTCTCAGTATTTTTAAAGGGATGTTTCCAGTAAAGTATATTGCAGAAGTCTAGCTGAGTAATAATGTACCAGTTGAATCTGGGCAAAGATACTGATGGCCACAATAGCTAACTCACATTCTAGGAGCATCCCCAAGCTGTGAATTTGCCCTTCAGAGAGAGCAAAATCTCATCCAGAAGTTCTTGTAATCCAATGCAACATGTATCTCATATAAGCCACACTGACAACACCGGGACATTTTGTTAATACTATTTATTCCTTAATTTGTTTATTAAATGTATAGCCCAACTTTCTGCCAAAAGAAAAACATTCAAGTTAGAGTGAAATAACCCCAGTCCCTGAGTTCCCTCTTGGAAGAAGGCCAGGATGCAATTATACATCATCTTTGCCATTACCTCCACCCCATTAATGGAATCCTAAATGACGATCTGTATTGAAAAGATGTGCAAGACATTTATAGGTTTCGTTTTTATTTTGTTGTTGTTGTTATGTCCCTTTAGATAATTTCTGACTTATGGTGACCCTGAGGTAAACCCATCACAGGGTTTTCTTGGCAGAATTTGTTCAGAGGATTTTGCCCTTGGCTTCCTCCAAGGCTGAGAGTGTGGCTTGGCCAAGATTACCCACTGGGTTTCCGCAGCCAAATGGGGATTCAAACCCTGTTCTCCCAATATCCTATGCCAACACTCAAACCACTACATCATGCTGGCTTTCTCATTTCTAGTGGCACAATTATTAAGAATTTATTTTCTGGGATTTAGGGTGATGGTGATAACCAAGCACAGATTACCATGAAGACTTTAATATTTATACCAGAGGGGGAATCCCTCCATGTTTTGGTTGGAGAGATCCACAAATTTGGCTGAATGGTCCAAGCCCAGTCTTGTTCCTGACATGCTTGCATCTAATGAGCAGGGTTGTTTTTCTTAAATAACCATTTAATCATGTGAGCCTCCAATTTTAGTATAAAATGGAAGAGCCCAGATGCACATTTGTGAAATCCAGAGATATATGAAAACAGAGAAGCATGCAAAAGTTCAAAGACTATACCCCCTTGCCTGGAGACCCTTGAACACACATTTTATTTTCTTTATATTTGAGTGGAGTTTCTTGAACTCTCTTGTGCAGGAATGAAATCAAAGCAATGTGCCCAAACATTTCCAGACTGCATCACTATTGTATATTTTGCAACAGAACAAAGGCAGAAAGCCCTGATGTGTCTACAGCTGGGTTTGCCTTCAGAAGACTGTTTGCAGGCATGTGTTGCCCTCCAAAATGAAACAGCCATTAAAATGTATATATAATACAAGAGGCCAATATATTTCCCACTCTTTTCCTTCGTTTTGTTTTTTTTTAAACTACTTTGCTGTACAGGCAAAACAGGTGCTGAAACATGAAACCCTACCGAGGGATTTCCTTTGCAAAACAGCTTGGCGTTCAAGCTCATGGCTTCAAGTTAGACATGCTTCTGAGGTAGAATGTTTAAATAAAAATGCATTATCAGAAAAGGACCCATGGTCCTGGAATGCCACAAAAAATGTGTGGGTACAGGGGGGAAAGGGAGGACTAGAGAGGGGAAAAGGCATCCTGTCACTTTAAGAAAAAATAAACTAAAATATGAACTACCCAAAACCCTGCCATTTCCAGCCTGGGCTTGATTAATGATTTTTCTATCTAATAAAAGGTTCACAAACCATCTGTTTTTCTCCCTAATGCCTTGCCCAAAGGTTTTTCGTTCCTATTTCAGGCTCGGGGCCAACTGACATTCCAGTCTTTTTTTCCCAGCCTTGTAAACAAACCCTTCTCTCTTTTTAATCTTCCAGTGCTGTTTCCTACCCATCGTTATGCATATTCATTGCGAGTAAACATTTTTAGTGTCTACACTTAATCTCTTCCACTGGCAATTACTGTTCTGTGCTGTTTTGTAATGCAGAAGGGCCAATGCTTTCCCTTCTAATAACAGCTGGGTCGCAGATGGGGCCTGCAGTCATTGTAGAAAATAAAAATTTACAAGATGCCAGTGGAATTTATTTCAGTTTTATGGAGTCACAGGAGGAACCTTTCTGTTATCCGCCTTCAGTGAAATCTGCAGGCAAAAGGCATGCTTTTGACATTTAATCAAAAGGAGGTTCAGGTAGGGTCTGGAGCAACACAAGGAAGAAAGCAGGTGGATCATATTAGGCAGTGCCATGGTTAATTTATTTAGAAGTGATTGGCTTAGAAGTATGCAGCCAATATTTGACATCATGTATATATCTTGTTTAGCATCCTGATTCCAAATTGTTACCACTGTAGAGACACTGCGTTGCTCCCACTGACTGAAGCAGGTGTGAGGCTGGGAGGCTGCTAAGAGGTGCTGGTAGAAATGAAAATCTAATAGCAAAAAGAGCTGCCATGCTCATCAATGCTGCTCCTTTACTCACTCCATTTTATCAGCTTTGCCAAACCCCTGTAATGTTTCCCAAGCAGGGCTCCAGAATGTGTGAATCAGTTTTTGAATGAAGGATTCAGTTTAGACAAAAATGTTTTGTAATTTGAACATGATCTGATTCCAGGGAGGGAAGGAAAGATCGTGGCCTGAATATAATTGCAAGCCCCAGCCATGTTTGACTCTTTGAATCAATATGATCTTGGTAAATCCATAGTTGAGTAAGCTCCATTAGTTCAGTGGATCTGCTATAGGAATTGGACTAGTAATTAGATATAAGTTTGGGCATTATATTGAGTGCTCCTCAAGCCCACTAACAGCTCTGCCTTTAATTCTGTCCTACACTATTGTGTGTGTGCGCATGTGCCTTCAAGTTACCTGTTGACTTCTGATGACTCCATGAATTGCACAGGGTTTTCTTAGGAAAGGAATACCCAGAGGTGGCTTTTCCAGTTCCTTTCTCTGTATAGCCTATAATACCGGTAGTCCTTGATGGTTTCCCATCCAAGTATTAACCAGGGATTACCCTGCTTGGCTTTCAAGATCAAATGAGATCTGGTGCCTTTAGGTATTTAAGCCTCTACACACCATTACCCCAGCTTAAACAGTCTCCTGATACCAGCAGTGGCTGGTGGTTTCTATGTCAGTAAGATGGTGAATGTACTCTGGATTTTGTCCTGAACTTTAAAGAAGCTATCCAAAGCGCTGAATCTCACCTCCCAAACCATTTTTTAATCTTGACTAGCTCCTTTAAAATTTGGACTAAAACACAAAAGAGGTTCTCTCCAATGACTTGGAAGCCAACAACTACCATTCCTTGAAACTGCTATGTAGCTATGAAGGGGCAGTATTGCCCACCTTTGGACATGATAGCAACTTGGAGGTGATTTAAGATGGAGAAATTATTTTAAAAGCCAATAAAGGGGGACAGTACTTAACCTTGGGGGAGGGGGGCAATTATTCACAGGAGGAACCACAGAGAAACCATTCACAAAGTTCCTGAGCCACTAGGTTTGTCAAAAAATGACTTACATTTTTGGAATGCCTTTCCCCACTAGGGTGTATCAGTGTCCAACTTAGCTGGTGCATTTCTTGGGAATTTCAAACTGGAACTATCACTATCCTTATTCTCTTCTATTTTTCTACCTATTTTCCCCTGCATATTCCCTTTATGTTTTGAATTACTTGTGTTCTACTCTATCTTTTTTAATCAATGTTTTAATGAAGAGTTTTTATATGTGCCTTTCCTTAAGAAAAAAATGAGTAAGAGGAGACAAGACAGAGATATATAAAATTATGCATGAGGTGGAGAGATTTGACAGAGAATAGTTTCCCCTCCTCCCTTATAATACCAGACCCTAGAATAATGCAGTGAAAGTAAATGGGGGGAGCCAAATATTTTGGACAGCCCTTTTTGTAAGCAAGGCACATGCATAAAAACTGATCATTCAAATATGAATAGCTGCAAAGTTTCTGAAAAATAGATAAAAGAGGTGGAGAGTCTGCCTGCACTGCAAAGGAATGTAATATCCTCTTTCCAAATGACAAAGATACTTCACATTTATGGACATAGCCAATTGTACGGATGTACATAAAATAATAAATTGAAGTGTTACAGAGAGAGTCACAGTAAGAATCTCATTTAAAATTATTTTCATTTATACAGAATTCTGTTAAAAAAAGCAATGTAATGAGAATGTAAAAGTTCACTATTGCCTGGAGAAAGAAAATTTCTGAATAAGGCACCATAGAAAGGAAAGGTTATTGATTCCACTCAAACTGATCTTTGTTAAATGATGTTCTGTTCACTCCATTTTATTTATTATTATTATTTATAATACTATTTTAAAACCTTCTAGGCTATTTACAATTTCTTTAGTATTCCTTAATTTCTCCATCTAATGCAATGCCTTTTTTAAAAAAGAAAAAGAAAGAAAGAAAGAGTTCATATTATTTTGATTATTTGAGGGAATTTAGTTCTGTCTAAGAGTCCAGCATGGATAAGTCAGTAAAAAATTTTAAAAAGGAGAAAATAGGTGGGTTTTTTCCCCCTGCTTCATAAAGACCTGAAGTCTAGAGCTGAGAATTTTAAAAGGAAGAGTAAAAGGTGAGCAATTTCAATAAATAATACCTAGATATGCCCTTTTATAAATTTTCATTATAATGTAGTACAGTCAGCCCTCCACATTTTCTGCTTTGACTTTTGTGGATTTGATTGATTCACAAATTTGATTCATATGTTTTCTCTA